GCCCTGGGCATCGAAGCAGGGCACCAACTCAGCACAAGAGTTTGACCACCTGCCTCAGGGCGGCAATGTCTGCCACAAGTCCTCCAAAGCCCTTAGCTGCAACCCCAAGGGCCCATGTCCAGGGAATAGGAGCCCTGGCAACTGGAGCACCCCAAGTGCCAGGCAGACTGCAGGGAGGGAACCCACATGGGTTGTGCCAGGGCCACTCTTCAGTCTGGTGAGGGCTGAAGGCTTTGGGAGCAGCTCATGGGGTACACCCCAACAGCCAGGAAGGGAAAAGCTGGGAACTCTGCTGGTCCATGGCCTCACCGCTTCCTACCACGTTCAGGGTTTCGGCAGGTCCCATGGGCTATGCTGGCTGTAGATTGGCGCCCCTTGGCGCATAGTGAAGGGAGACAAGACTCCTTGGCTCGACCCAATTCAGCAGCCCAAGTATTCTTTGAAGGTGGACAGGTTAAATCCTGCCGAGCTGGGGGAATCCTCCCCCCGCCACCCCATTGCCCACTGGAAAGTACTTGTGGTTTTCTCTCGTGGGATTATCTGAGGGCCCTGAAAGGCCTGCTGGGGTCAAACTTAAAATGCTGTAATAAGGGAGGGCAATTTATTCAACTGTGGAGAGAAGCCCCCCCCCCGCCGTTTTGCTTTGGGAGGCTGCTTTGATAGTAATGGCGAGGGAGGGGATGTTCCAGCCTGCCCCCACCCAGCAGATGGACAAGCTTTGTCTTTCCTTCTAGATAGTAAGAACGGGCTGCATCGTGGCAGTGCTGAAGATGGCTGAACAAACTTCGGGGTGGGGGTATTGGGCGAGAGCCACGGCTGGCAACCCTGAGCCCTCCTCGTCCTCGTGGGCCGCCTTTTCTCATGGATCCGGGCCCTGGCTGGGAAGGCAGCTCCGTTTCCCAGGCTTGAGACTTGGAGCTGAGCCTCATCTGATGCTGAAATCGGGGGCGGGGGGGGGAGCTGGTTGGCAGCTCTCTAGGAAACCCAGTCACCCGTCGTCCTTTGCCAGCATCGACCCTCTCGGCAGGCTCCATGCTCCATGCCCCCAGCCGCCCACAAGGTTCTCTTTCAGCCTGTGTCCGAAGGGGAGGCCTGCTTTCTGGGGTTTCGGAGTGCCTCCCCTCAGGAATGGGTAGCTGGCCTCGCTTGTGGGTGCAGCTGGCAAGGTTTCCAGAGGGTACTCCAGGAGGCGGCTCCGGTTCCCCCAGCTGGGGGTGCAAAGGGACGCCCAAGCCAGAGCCTCGGTGGGGGGGCTCCGCACCCCTCTCTGGAGGCTGCGAGTCAGCCCTTTGCCCTCCCTGTGGGACTCGGGAGCGGCTGGCGAGTCCCGACCTCCCTGACTGCCAGGGCCCAGACTCCACCCGGCCAGAACCCTAGGGTGGGGCTGGCTTGGCCGTGGGGCTGCTGCCTGCGCCTTCCCCCCACGCCTCCTCATTTCCCCTCTCGGCTGCGGTTGGAAAATCCACGTGGCTCATAAGGAAAATATTTGCTCAGCAGCAGTTTTCGCAGGAATCTGGGATGTTAATTTGAACAATCTGCTGGGGGAGGACAAAGGGCCCATTCAGCAGGTCAGCTAGTCCCTGTGGGGAGCTTCCTCAGTGCCCCCAACCTTCCCCAGCTTCCCTCTGGGCCAGGAACTCCCGAGCTCTCCGTCTCCCCTGACCATGCGTAGGCCAAGCAGGCCAGTTGCTTCCTGGCCCCAGAGCGGGCGAGGGGGCTCTGGCTTTGCCCCCAGCCTCCAGAAGCAGCCGCAACCTGGAACCCCCTTCCGCTGCTGTAAGAGGGCTGTGGAGGGGCCAGGGGCCAGGGGCCTCGTCATGCCAGGAATGGGTGGCTGACCCTGGAAAAGCCCTCTCAGTCACAGGATCAGGCCCGCACACAGCCTGCAGCTCTGTAAATTAGGCTGCTCTGGTGCTTCTCTGGGCTTTTAATCTTTCCTATGGAAATTGCGACCTTCCCCCCCCCCTCCTCCCT